AAAGCAGAGAAGCAGCAACTTCACTCAAGGCAACAGGTGAGAAAATAAGTGATAGTCTGCTAATAGCAATGATTTTGAAGGGACTACCTCAAGAAATAGGTCAGAATACACTGACATTTCCCCAGTACAAGAAGGAATTACGTGCATTTGAAGAGTCTGAGAAGTTATGCACAACTCAAGATAGAGGTGAAAGTATAATAAAAATGTAGGCCAAGCATAAAAATCCAATGATGTGCTACTCATGTGGTAAACCAGGACATGTCTTATGATTGCAGAAGCAAGAAACCACAAGAAAGAAGCAGCAGAAGATTTGTAGAAAACCAAACTATTACAGGACACTGCCGTAGCAAAAGGAAAGATTACAAGAGAAAATTCCTCAAGCTATCCGGACGCAGCCAAGAAAGCATCTATAAGTGTGATCCCCGAATATAAGGAAGTGTTTACTTGTCGACTGTGGTGCAACGTCACACATTATTACAGAAAAAGATTTTTTTAGGCTTCATGACGATTTTAATCCAAAGAATCATGCAATAGAATTAGCTGTTGGAAGTAGAGGCACTGGTGTAGTGCAAGGTAAAGGTGATGCACGTGTCAAACTACAAGATAAGGGTAGATTATGTAAGATAACATTGAAAGATGCATTTTATGTACCTTCATACAAACAAAATAATATGTCAGTGCAAGCAGCAACACAGCAAGGTGTAAGTGTAACTTTTGGTCCTGAGTATGCAAAGCGTAAAGTCCTAGATGGTACAGTATTTAACGTTAAAAAGGAAGGAAAATTGTCCTCCTTAAATAGTGTAGGGGGAAAAAGTGCAAATGCATTCAAAGAAATAAAAAGTGTGAATCATACTACAAATGAATGGCATAAATTTCTAGGGCATTGCAACATAATAGATGTCATGAAGTTAGAATGTGTAGCAGATGGAATGCACATTTCTAATAGGAAAATTGAAGTCTATGAAGCATGTACCCTAGGAAAAATGGCTCAGTATAGAAGCAGACAGCCTGATGATCGTTTTGGTCTTTTCAATTTTCAAAAAGAATGAAAAATAATTTTAATGGTTACATTTTTACTGAACAATCATCGAAATAGCCCTGTGGATGAGAAGAGTGGGCGATTATGTGTATGCATGAATAATTCTCAAGTGGAATTGCTCGCAGTGGGTGTCAAGCCAAAGGCCTGTATTTTTTACTCAGCTTGAAGGAATGAAATAAACCTAGTTTCATTAATACCTCCATGCACTCATTGAATGAATGAAAGGTATTTGATTTAATGTGTAGGATATCAGGGCAAAAGACTTTATGAAGTCAAAAACACCTGAAAAGCCATTGAAACTAACACTGTTGGATGTTGTACAAAATGTAAACATGATCATGTGCTATTCTAAAAAATAGCCCGGCCTGGTCATCAAAATAAACAGGCGCCATGACGCCTCGAGTTGCTACAGATCTAGCCTTCCCCATAAGCCTCACATGCTCTGCCTGCTTACCCATCACCATGGCATCCACGGACATCCCAACAAGTATGCTGTAATCGGACCTATTAATGTGCAATTTAGTTTAGAAAGTAAAAAGAAAATGTGGCCCATAGGGGAGGGGGGCAACTGACACCCACCCGCCCAAATGGCGCCCCTGTTTCTTGCTCGTTAGAACAACACGTCTTTCGTACATCCTATTGTATCACCTTAATGCACAGTCGCGGTCAAAAACGAGCATCCGCTTAATACCACACTCTTTTGTACAGGGCAAGGCAGACTCGAAGCTTCAGTTCATTAACGGACTTTCGTTCACCAGTGGACTATTCCTTGCAGAGTCCCCGTCCCTCACGTAGTTCAAAGTCTATGGAACCATTAAACTCCTGTCTTCTAGCCTCTTCTCTGCACTCGTTATTATGATTTACCCTTCTCCTCCTTTATCCTCCCCCATCCATCTCTATACTTCCTTCGACTAACGGGCATCGATGCTGTAAATGGTTCATGTTAAGCGATGTGACTGGTGAACGAGATGTAATGGAATCTGGGTCTGTATGTCACTATTATATATGCACAAGTGTTCTCCACATACTAGCACCGGCAGTAATATATCTAATATACTGCAAGTATTCAAAGTCTGTATATGATATTCCAATATTCCCGATGTTTGGTATAAAGCACGATTAGTGTTGGTTAACAGTAAGGAGTGAATTATGGTGAATTATACCTTTTATTCAGCCAAATAATATGGAAAACAGCTGATGATTAGATGTAACATTAGCACTGACTGAGGCAATCACATGTTTCTGTGCATTTCTAAAAAGAACAGTGCATGATTAGGTGTAATGTTTAAAGGTTTCAGTATTAAGAATATCTATGGATCTGTTCATTAACTATCATTAAGAACTGTTGGACCTAATACTATACATTAGTTAAAGGTTATTTACGGAAATGTTAATAAATGTACCGCGACTGTCAGTGTGTTTTGGTGTTTCCTATATAGTTCTAAGGAGTGGGAAAAGTTTACATATTTCTATTTAAGAATATCATCTTAATGGTTATCAATATACAAAAAAATGTGTATATATATGTGTATGTGTTGTATACCTATTGCATAAACGTATTTATCTTCTTTAATCATCATAGCCTCATCCCTATCATCATTATCATTATCTTCACCATCATCGATTATGTTAGTAACCATGATCTGTGTTTGTCATTGTACCAGCTGAAAGGTGGCTGAAATAAAAGGCATGTCATCAGGTTGCCAATGGCGCTTTTTTATAGCACAGTAATGGCATGGTGTTAAGTCGAGTTTTTTTTACGACGGCAGCGACGATAACAGCGATGACGTGTTAGAAATGGTAGTAATCACCTGTATTATGACGGCAGTGACGTGTTAGAAACGGTAGTAATCATCTGTTTTTATTGGAATTTTGCAAGGGACGGCATAATAAAGTACATATGAATTCCAGTTTGAGTATAAAGTTGTTATATCGAAATACAAGGCCTCATTTATCTATTGTGTTGCGGAACGGTTTGATGTGATGAGACTGGTTTGGGGCGAATGCACAGCAAAGAGGGTGGTATGGGGGGGGGGGTGAATGTTATCCTGTCAAATCAGAACAACTTCATCGTAGAGTATGATGTTAAGGTGTGTCAAAAATCCGTACACTTTAATGCTGTATTTAAGATTGGCGTTCCCTTGGGCATCAAGCGACCACGTGGACTACGGCAGTGCATTAGGATCGCAGCTTTGATCGGGAGTACAAACAAACGAGTAGCTCACAAATGTATGTAATAGAATCCGTTAAGCTTACAATATATTTACGTGAATGGCTTCCGTAATACTGGGTAGCCTTAATTAACCCATTCACCGTTTTTCTTAGTTCTTTCTCACGCTTATTACCTAAATGAAAGTGACCAGTGTGTGTATCTTTTTTCTATACTTTATATCCTCTATCTTTTCCTTTTTTCATACTTTTCATTTTCGTGCCATTAACCATTAGGGCTGAGAAGAAAGGGAGGGATAGAAAATATGAGAAATAGTCTAATTCCACTGTCTTTACCCATGCAAGGATTAGAACTCATGCAGGAAATTGAATAAAGATATTTCCATCAACAGCGTAGAAAAAAAACAAATAGTGGAATGCTAAAAACTAATAAAAACACAACCATCTTCCGCCTATGTGAGGAAGAGAAGAAGAAAAGTGTGCAAAGACTCACGGTATTTCAGCGTCCCCCAGCCCGTGACGACCGCCGAGCGCCCCTCGAAGTCCGCGTCGGGAGGCAGGCAGATGGGTCCGATGTTGTCCTTCCACACCAGAGCCTTTTTGAGCGTTATTAGAGCGATGTCGTTCTCCTGTGGAGGTTTGGGTGCCTGGTAGCATTAGTGGAGAAGCTTGTTGTTTATTGGCGAGCTCATTTACGTAACTATATATTGAGGGAGGAATCCAATGAAATATATGTGACTATTACCGTTGGTATGGAAATCGCATTATTAATACAATTATTTATAACGTACCATCTCTTAGCGAAAGACGAGGATGGAGTATAGGTGTAAAATTAAAGGTAACATCAAATATCTGTTGGGAGGCTTATATGAATAATCTTTCTACTATATAGTGTCTGCACACATTATGAAAAATGAACCAACTACTTGACATTTGACAGATGCTGATTTACTTTTTCAAGCAAGCAACTCCGGGTACATTTTCCCAAAGGACTTGACGCCTTTGCACAGATCAACTGAAGTCCATCAAGTGTTCAGGTAAATCACACTTTTGGACGGTGGTTCCGAACCCCAAATGAGGGTCACGGGGATTTTTTCTGTCTCAAGAAGGTCGTAAAAAATAGATAAAAGAATCCACAGTTGGACATGCAAGTAGAGAGTAATGTCTTTTCAAAACTTTTTTCTTTCCCGTTTCAGATTTATTGATATTAATACTGTTAGGAAGATAAACCTATATAAGTAGAATAGTGGAAGCTCATAAACATCTGCAAGTGTAACTGAAAATGGTTGGATGTATAACTACACACTCACACATTTAGGGTCGATAAAAATAATTTTTTTATGTTCTGACATAACTGATGTTCTATAAAGGCATTATTTTTTTTTCTGCAAAATGCCTCGTGTCATGTTAAAGATAAAATTCACCATTTTATAATATCAATTTCACTCCATTGTTGTCATTCACTTTTTATTATTATTATTATCGCTATCATATGAAATTTATTAAATATTTATTTCACATCACTTCCATGTGTTCACATCGATCATCTGATTCGCGGCATACAACGTTAAAATTTTGCCTGAACAATTTACAGAATTTGACACAGATGCTGCATATTTCTGTCCTAGCCAATTGAGTTACTCCCTTGAAATTGATGTTATACAATAGTATATAAAATTTTCCATCACATTTTAGGATATGTGCTCCCTTCGCTACACACACACACACACACACACACACACACACACACACACACACACACACACACACACACACACACACACACACACACACACACACACACACACACACACACACACACACACACACACACACGAAGCCTACCTGTGTGGAAGAGTTATATTTTGGATGCATGGTGACCCGTTTGGCTTTGATGACCTGGGTCTCCGTTTCCCTGTTGGAATCGACGTTGTACTCCCCGGCCGTGACCGTTACCTGCACACTGGGAGAGTTCGAAGGAAGGTTTACACTCTACTCTGTCTGTGTCTGTCTGAATGTTCTTTTTGTTGTGTCTCTTTCTTTGTCCTTTTCTCTTGTCTACATTGCTATTGATGGTCGTTTTGTCGATCTCAAGCTTAATGTTTCCGTTGCGTCTATTTTGATTGTAATAATTTTGAGGTCATTTTCGATGTATTATCTTATCTATCTGTATTTTCATGTTCTTTTCATTATTTCTCTGTAAGGCTGCCTCGAATAGGAATGGAACAGAGAAACGAAAGAGAAGAATTTTTGACGAAATGAGAGAAGTAGGAAACCGGAAACGAATATTTTATGATGGTTCCCCTTCCCCTTGAAAACACACACACGCACGCATACACACACACACACACACACACACACACACACACACACACACACACACACACACACACACACACACACACACACACACACACACACACACACACACACACACATACACACACCACACACACTCACACACACACACCCATCCACCCAGCCACGCACGCACATACACATCCACACACCCACACACACACACCCCCCACCCCCCACCCCCATCCACCTAGCCACACACACATACACCCACACCACCACACACCACACCCACACCCTCCCACACACACCCATACCCATACCCACACACACACACCCCCACCCCTCCCACAGACCCAGACCCCTTGTAATCGACGCAGTGGCTGGCTGTGAGGACGTGTCTGGTCGTGACGATGGCTCCCCCGCATAAGAAATCGCCGAAGTCCGTCGAGATCTCCAGCAGCGCCATCCAAGGGTACTCGCCCTCACTCGCCTCCTCGCCGCCCACGATTCGGGTTGCGCCCGCGTCGTCAGGGGCGGCGCCGCACACTGAGGGTGGCAGAGGATAAGGATGGCAAGGATAATGGCAGTGGGAATGCTAAAATTTAAAAAAAGAAATAAAATGGATAATGGCAAAAGAAAAGATAATGACAGAGGATAATCTGATAGAAATAAGAATAAAGAATAAATAAGTGGCTAAAAAAAGAAAAAAAAATCAATCGAGTGATGATAGCTGATGAGGGTAATGTCAGTACGCGTCTAAAATAGGTGAAATAAATCGAAAGTGGACATGATGGCTGATAAGGATAATGACAGTGAGCATGATAAGAAAGTAATAATAAATGATAAAAAAAAAATGAACATGATAAGGTTAGAAGTGATCCTAATGCATACGGCAACGGTTATCAAATGATGATTTTCAACATAGTGTGTTAATAAAAGCAATATTGATATTTATTACAGTGATACGGCCAATAATAGAAATAATAACGATAATAGTTGGCGTTGAGGACTAAGAAAAGGATGGCAATTGCGATCACATTACTACTGTTACTAACGAGAATGCTAATACTAACATTGAGAACGGTAATTAGATGAAAATGTAAATTATAGCAGTCGTGAAACTAATAATTTAAGTATTAGACGCCGCCATTTTGTTTCATCATAATATTCGAATTCTATCGACTGAAAAAAATAGATAAATAGATAAACAAGATAAACCAATAAATTAATAATAATAATAATAATAATAATAACATCGTCATTAACGTGATAATTCAGCATTGTTACCAACGGTGATGGTTAAATTGTGATGAAATGATGTTGCGAGTAATGGTGATAAGAATCATGGTTCTTATGATGACCTTTGTGGGTGTTTCAATTGTTTATATTATTGATGTTGCTTCTACCAGTAACAATTTTAAAAGTAAAATTAACTGGAGAATAAAGAAGATGACGCTTCATACTTGATATGGTAGTAGCATTAGAGTTATAATAGTATGATATTGAGACTGATTACAGTGGTAATGATAATGATGTTGATCAGAACAATGGTTATGGCTATGCGGATGATAATAACAATAATGACAATGGTAATTTATGATAATACTAATTAGAGTAATGACGATAAGAACAATAATAAAGATCAATAACAAAAATCATAAATATCACACTTCTTTAATTCTTACTTGCCGCGATATAAATTTCTATGCTAAGAAGGGAGCGTAAATATAACAAATATCACATTTATTGGAGTTGTATACTCGAATATTTTATGTGATCCAATCTGCTGTTTTTTTGTGGAAGAGAAACGTGGCACGACGCGAAAGTGGCGTAAAAGCTGAATTGTTTGACAACCACAATGTTTATGAAGTGCTGCTGGATACCACAAATAAAAGCATTCTTGTAATAACTTTTCACCGTTTTTTACATGAAATGAAGTTGATACCTTCATAAATGAAGGCATTCTTGTAATCATTTCTGCTGATACCTTAACTAAAAGCATTCTTGTAATATTTTCTCACCGTTTGCGCATCCTGGTGCTTGGGTGCTGTCACTATTGCCACCACCCCACCGCCGCCGCCGCCGCCGCCGCCGCCGCCGCCGCTGCCAGTACCACCATTGCTCGCTGTTGGAGGTAATTGGTATTTAGGATGGTTTGGTGGAGAATGAAATTGATATTTCCCAAAGTGTTTGTTCTCTTTTCTATTTTTTGTGATAAGATGCGAAAATGATATGCTGATGATTATTCATTTATTTATTCCTTTTTTTCTCTCTATATCTATCTATTTCCCCCTCCCTCCCTCACACTCTCTCACTCACTCTCTCTCTCTCTCTCTCTCTCTCTCTCTCTCTCTCTCTCTCTCTCTCTCTCTCTCTCTCTCTCTCTCTCTCTCTCTCTCTCTCTCTCTCTCTCTCTCTCTCCCTCCCTCTCACTCTCACTCATTCTCTCAGCTTCACTCACTATCTCTTTCACTCACTCATACTCTCACACTCTCACTCTCTCACTATCTCTCTCTCTCTCTCCGTTTCTGTTGAACTTACCGCTCACTGCCTTGACTGCGCACCACAGTTGAGAATTAGCATTGTTCCCTTTGATATTCTCGTGCAAAACATACACAAACTCCATCTCCTTTCTCTTGGCAGGCCCATTACTTCCGCAATACCTGAAGGGGGAAAGAAGGGAGAACTGACAAAAGGGAGAAGGATTTTTTTAAAGGGAGAAGGAATTTTTAAAAATGGAGGCGGAATAGGGAATTTAAAGAGAGGGAGAGGGAATTAAAGAAATGGAGAGAAGAGGGAATCAGTGGTGATGGAAGAGGGAATTTAGAGAAAGGGAGAGAAGAGGGAATTAAACGAGGAGACCGAAGAGGGAATTAAAGAAAGGGAGAAGGGAGGGGGAATTATAGAAAGGGAAAATGGATTGGGAATTAAAGAAAGGGAGAAGGGATAGGGAATTAAAGAAAGGGAGAAGGGATAGGGAAATAAAGAAAGGGAGAATGGATAGGGAATTTAAAAAAGGGAAAAGGGAGAGGGAATTCAAGATAGAGAAGCACATGAATCGTCAATAAGTGATCATTCGTCCATCAACTCAATCCCTGAGTCAAGTGGAGAGGAATCAAGTGAACAAGTTGGCAATAAATCAAAGGAAAAATACACGCAGTCGTTCAACCGAATTCTGAACAGATCAGTAACAACTCACTCATCCTCAGAAGTTTCGTCGGTGACCAAAAAACGTTCCTTCTTGCAGTTTAAGAGAGAGAACTTCCTACAGTTCATCTGCAGCTTGGTGTCTCCGCTTGGCTGTGTGAACGGGGGATAAGGGTTACTCGAGTCTGGCATTCGAGAAAAGGACAACGAAATAGGTTATAGATGTATTAATGGATAAAAATGTATGATGTACATAGACACACACACACACGCACACACACACACATATTTGTATGTATATATATGTTCGTGTGTTAGTCTTAGTAGGATGTTACCAATCTACAATCTGTCTGATTTGAGACCCAGTTGGACTTATTCTCTTCACTAAAAGTCTGAGGGACGCATACTCTAGGCACAATTTACTCCATACTGCAATTATCCCCAAGATAAAATGCCCGTGCTCATATCCAGATGCATGCGAGGCTTTGGTGCTGCAAGTACAACCACAACTACACCTGCTACAACTTACCTCGAAGAATGCGTCGCAAATGTCGTCTTTATTTAGGCGAAACACAACAACGTCTCCCTTCTGTACGTCATAAACTTCCCCACATTTCGCTGTATTGTTAATATGAATACATGAATGTAGACCACTTTTTATGGTCGGTTATCATCAGAATGATTGCTGATTGTTATCTCCTCAAGATTATTCAACATTTTCCATGTAATCATTACATTACTATTACCGAGAGTTTCACACTATTCAGTTTAGAAAGAAAGATAATACAATGCATTCATAAAATCCATTTCATCTGCTGACTCTATCTTAGAGGGAGTGATACCGAAATATAGAAATTTAATATATTCTTTCTCTATTTCGAATTCGCGTGAGAGTAAAAGTAGGTAACCCTGAGGTATCGCTCTTTGAGATGGTATCTGCAGATGAAAGAACACGCCATTCACGGTGTCCCTGGGCCGAGGCGTGCAGGACCGAACCGGCTGTGGATTATATGAATATTGTCCTCATTTTCGTGTCATTTATTCGCCCAACTCAATGGTCCTTACCTATTATCTTTTTCAACCTTGAGCCCATCCGTTTCCGACCCGTCTTGCGCGCCGGATTCAAGTTCTTTCGTCTCAAGGGCCTTCCTCTCTCTCCTGCAGAAGTTCGGGCTCCGCTTCCCTTGGCGAATCCGCGGTCCTTGAGGCACTGTGCCAGGGCTCCCTTCGCGGAGGAATCAGAGCTCTCGTCGCGGCACTCCCGGAAGGCTTCTCCGAGTCCCGTCACCGCGCCGAATGCCTGTGGAGGGCGGTTGAGGAAGCGAGGTCAAGGAAGGGTTCTCG